TGTGTGTGTGTGTGTCCCTCTCTCTCCCTCTTTCTCTAGATTCTAAATGCCCCCTTTTATCCGGTTTTAGAACATACTATGATTTCTCTCCCTCTTCCTCTTCACTCTCGTTGTAATGTTAGGGCCAACGGTTTGAACTATCAGCTCCTGGAGTACAGGAAAATTCCAATATAAACATGTAAAATCCGTGGCCAGTTTCGTAAAGAAATTAACAGGAGGCGTGGATTTTTGGTGTTGGCCAGCTCCCGGTTCAGAAAAGATTTTGTTGAGAAACCTCTGTTGAAAGTTTAGTGTCATAGACACCAGTGAAACAATTTTAAAACTAAATTCAGCAAGCAAACAGACGAAACAACAACAACAACAAATAAACAATGGAATGGATTCATCACAACTTTGATGGTGAATCAGAGTAAAATACCCACCCCATCAGCCCAAAACGTTTTTTGATTTGGCATACAGTAAATAGTAGCCTAATGGAAAATCTAATTTTTGCCTTCACCTCCAAAGAGGTGACATCCAAAATAAACAAACAGACAAACAAACCAACCAACAAACAAACCAACCAACAAACAAACAAACACACAACGAACAAAACATAGCAACTTTATGTATGACTATATTCAACACCTTAGATAACATATTTTCTCAATTTTTAGAGATCAAATTCAATAAACTCGCTGTGTTTACCAATTATTGAGTTCCTATCATTGCCCGTTTGCATGCCCTTTTATCGTATCATTATAGCGGCTTACTGCTTCGTGTCTGTCTTTCTGTCTGTCGTTGAAGTGACATGATTTGATGAGAAGACATGATTATCGACACGAGCCTTGATCGAGCAGCGATAACCGTGTCTTTAAATCAAATAAATTGCCACAGATTAAGGCCACGGGAGTTAGAGCCCTAGCTCGGTCCAACGTTGTGTCCTTGGAAAAGGCACTTCACACTAATTTTCCCCAATTGGCTAGGTCCTATCGAAGATGGATTTTAAACCGGCGTCTGTGGTGTAGTGGTTAGGCCCTTCGCTGTCGCACGCAGGGGACCCGAGCTCGATTCCCGAGTTGGGAGAATTTTTATCGAATGTCTAGGTTTTTCTACTGGGATGTTTTATTTCTCTCAGCCTGGACTAGCCCTGATAAGCAGGGTCGGAAGCCGCTGCCTCCTACAGTATTTACTTTATGAAG